GGGGGGGGGACGGACACGAAAAACAGCTCCCCAGAGGACCAGGCAGTAATGGGTCAGCCATGGAAGGGAGCTGGAGCCCTGGGGAAGGTTTCTGGGGGTAGTGAGGCTCAAGGTGAGTGAAATGTAAAGAGGCAGGAGAGAACAATGCAAAAACATTGCTCCCATTGGGTTTACATTTCCAGGAATGTTCTGCAAGCTGGCGGGAAAGGGGTTAACGAATGGGGCCAGCTGCCGTACTCCCCAGGAGTCTGAGCTCTGGGATTTGCCCAAAGGAAGTAGGGCTCACTACCTCCCTAAGCGGCCTGTTCCCAGGATAAAACTCCCCAGTGAGTGAGATGGAAACCTAAAATGAAACTTTGTCAGACTTCTCGGACTCGAGCGTTACTTGGTCCTGCTGCTCCCTCATCACGGTGGCTGCTCCCTGAGGCCTGGTGTCCCTTTGGGGTTGGAATGCACTGCATTCTCTTGGGCAAATGCACCCTCCCTGCACTGGCCTCCAGCTGCCAACTTTCCAGCTTAGGAGGATGTCTCAGGGACAGAATGAGAAGACACAGAGGGAGCCTGGCACAGGGCAGGGACCCTGGGAGGTGCAGGCCCTGTCCCTTTCCTCCCCGTTCCCTGTCTCTCCCAGAGCCCTCTCTCCCCTCTCCTATCTGGGGTCCAGGTTACTTGGAGTGCCATATTTGCATAGACATGAGACCTCACCCGGGGAAATTCCCCCTGGTGACCAGGCTTCCTTTCTGAGGTCAGGCCACATCATCAGACTACTCCTTCCTCTCTAGCGCGCCCCAGCCTGCCACGGGCTTTGGTCCCTGTCATCTGGCAGGTGTACATCCAAGCTCACGGATTTAGTCCCATGCTTTGACCTTGGGCGCTGTCTCAGAGAGTGTGCATGAAAGGAGAATAGAGGAAAGGGCAGCAGGAGTGAGGGGTTTGAGAAGCCTGGATTGTGATGCTAGCTCATCAACAACTCCCTGCCTGACCCTGGGCACGGGCCTCCCTATCCCCAGCCAGGGGGGTGGTTAAGATAATCTCTAAGCTTTGTTCCAGATCTGATGGGCTAAGAAGCCACTTCCTTTAGCAGCACAGTCTTGCAACATTTGTCCTTGGATCATCCTCTTTGACAAAAATCTTGCAACATACTGCCCTATATTTGTTTCCTTGGAAAGCACAATTTTGCAAAATGCATTCCCGAATCCCACCTTTCAGATGCTGACAGAGTTACATGTACCTGCTGTCCTCATAGTGACTTAGTTTGAGTTTTAAGTTTTCTTTTCACATCCTTGGGGAGCTTTCAATAGAAATGGTGAGTCAGGAAACCCACGGGGGCAAATTCATTCACTCTCTAAATAAATATTGATTGACTATTAGGAGACTAGCTCAGTGCTGTTCCCACACATCAGCAAGACCAGAGATGTCAGGGTGGGAGAGGTGGGGCTAAATAACTAAGCATGAAAGAAGTGGTCCTGTGAGAGATTCCCTTGTATACCCAAATTTCACCCCTCTTTTGAGGTCCAACAGAGAGGACTCATCTCTCCAAGTGAGCTCTGGAGAAATTACCTGAGTTTGAACTCCAGCTGTGCCACTTATTAGCTATTGGCTTAAACCACTGTGAGCCTCGGTTTCCTCATCTGTAAAATAGCAGCACCAATCTCCTAGGGTTCTGATGAGGAATGCATGCAACAGATCACTTAAGAGCACTTAGTACCACGCCTGGTACATGTTAATCTTAAATATTAGCTCTTAGTGTTATTATTTCCTGACCACCTTGGCCTTCCCTGATTTCTCCGTCTTCTGAACTTTTGGTCTTCTTTACAGTGTCAGAATGGAAGGTCCCTTAGAAATTATCTAGTCTGATTCCTTTACATTCTAGAAGGGGGAATTCAGAGGAGGGAAAGGACTTGCCCATGACCCCACAGCAAAACCAGGACTCAGTTCAAGGGCCTCTGCTTCTTTGATGTCTATCCCACTGCCTGGACAGGAAAGACAATCTCAGGGAATTCCTGGCTAGAAGAAGGAAGAGGTGAGAAAGGAGATGTGAGAAGCTAATTGCTGTCGTCATTTTGGCAGGGAAAGAAACCCAGTGCTCATTTCCTCTAGAATGTGCAAGCCAAGTATTCCTAACCGGGGATTCTAGCTCATGCGGATCCAGCCTCTTCAGCCTCCTTAGTCTTTCAGGGTCCGCCTGCCATTGAAGACTCCATGAGCTGAACCCGTCTAAGCTGGGCTTCGTGAACTCACAGAGGACTCACATTCTTATGGCCTTGGGAGAGAAAACATCTTGTTTGCGCGAAATGTGGTGATCCAGAAACATCAGGACTGAATGACACATTTTACTGACAAAGAATCTAAAACTCTATTTCCTCAAGTTGGGGTCATTTGTCAATTTCATGGAAGGCTCTGGCTGACCGAGGGGACTCATCCCAGATCACCAGGAGATTTCATAATGCGAACCAGGGATAAGATCTCTCCCTGATGCTGAGTCCTGCCACCAGCCCAAATGCCTGCTGCTGAGCTGTGAGGGACGACTTTGGGTTTGGTATCAGAGGGCAAAGAGGGGAGCATCTGACAGTGTGGGTGTGGGAAGGTGTATTTTACTCCCTGCAGGGGAAAAGATCTACATGGAGGGAATGGTACCATCCTTTGCACCTGGTCTAACTCAAGGACTGGTGCCTTTAGTCCTATCGAACTTTCTATGATGAGGGAAATGTCTGCATAGTCTGGTATGGTAGCCACTTGCCACATGTGGCTATTGAACATTTAAAAGATGGCATTTGGCCCAGCCGGGCGTGGCTCAGCTGGTGAGCGTCGACCTAGGATCCTGGCGATCAGGGTTCGATTCCTGGTCAGGGGCACATGCCCGGGTTGCGGGTTCGATCCCCAGTCAGGGGCGTGTGGGAGACAGCCGATCCATGACTCTCTCATCATGGATGTTTCTATCTCTCTCTCTCCCTCTCCTTTCCTCTCTATGAAATCAATAAAGATATATTTAAAAAAAAAAAAAAAAAGTGGCATTTGCCACGAAGGGACTGTGTGGTGTGGGATGGAGCACTGGGCTAGGAGCCAGGAAGTCCCCCCATTTACTCACTTGGACAGTCACTTCCCTTGTCTGCCCTTCACTTCCTCATCTGTAAAGTGAGGCCATTGAGCCAGGGGTGTCTCTACCATTCCCGTGGAATCCCAGTCTGAAGGGCACAGGAGCAGTTAAGGATTGGAGTCAGTGAACTCTCCCCTTCCCTCACCTCTCACCCCCCACCCAGGGCTGAATGTGGCCCCTTACGAACTGGCCTGCCTATTTCTCCAGGCCCTACCTGCCTATGTCACTTCCCCATTGCCTGCTTCAAACTCCACGCTCCACTCAGAGTGCACAGTTTAAGTTCCCTGAATGCCCTCTTGTCTTTGCATAGTCTCTTCCTTTCGCTGAGAACACTCTTCCTTATGCTCTTGCTTGGTTACTTTCAGGTCTCAGCGAAGGTGTCACTTCTTCCAGGAGGATTTCCCAGGTCCCCAAATCCTGATCGGATGCTCCTTCGTCCAGGCTGCTGTAGCTTCCTGTATTTCTCCTGCCAAAACACATCTCTACTACGCTTTGTCATTAGCTATTAATTTACCTACAGCCCCCAGAGCAATGCTATCCAATAGAACTTTCTGCAATGATGGAAATGTCCTATACATGTGCAGGCTAATGTGGGAGCCGCAGGTGGCTACTGAGCACTTGAAATGTGGCTAGTGCTACTGAGGAACTGAATTACTGATTTTATTTAATGTTAACTAGTTTATGTTTAAATAGCCATGTGTGGCTAATGGCTACTGTACTAGACAGGGCAGTCCCCGAATCTGTGAGTTCTGAGTGGGTAGGAAACAGGTCTGACTTGTCCATTCCTGTATCCTCAGCGGTCTGTAAGACTGCAAGTGGTCTTGAAGGAACTGTAAAAATGAAGAAACTCCAGAACCAGGGATGATGGAGAAAGGCCAGCTGTCCAGAGGGCCCCCTCCCACACACTCCCCAGGCACCAGCAGATAATGAAATGAACTCAGAGCTTGTGTGTAAAGCAGTCAACAGTTTACAAAGGATGTCTGCGAACCATTGTTCTACATTAACTACCATCACAGGAGGCAGGCAAAGCAGGACTCCTCATCCCCATTTTACAGCAGGGATCAATGAGGCTCAGGATGGGGAGGCAGAGCACTAGCTGGTTGGTGCAGAGCTGGGCTGCTCCTTGGTGGGTAGGTCTTTAAGACCCCACTGGACATCGGAACGAGACCTGGCACAGAGGGAAGGAGCAAGCTCTTCCTTCCCTGTGGAGAATCCACAGAGACTAAGTGGAAACAGATGGGATAGGATTGGGGGCAGGAGGATGTAGGAAGGGCATCTGGTGATTTCCTCAGGGTCCTGAGCACTGGAATCCCCCACCTTAGGCAAAGGAGGAAATAGAGGTCCTTGGGAGAACCTGGGGGTGGGAGGTG